CCCACTTCTGACCTTCTGCATTTTGGAGAGATTTTTCTTGGTTCTTCCAAAAGATTTGGAAAATTAGCACTCTGATTGTGTAACCAGTGAAAAGGCATGTTTGGGAGAGATGCTGAGAGTCTGGCCAAGTGACGGCTTTCTACAGAGATTAGCATGGATAAAAGGGAGTCAGGTGCTGATGTTCAGTACAGTGGGGAAAGGCCTTGAAGGCATTTCAGAGATCTTCATGGCTGCCCCTCCATTACAGGCCTAGGAGAGTAGAAAGCCAGGGGATGGGCCTGAGGTGGGTTTATTGCCCTGTGCCGTTTTGAGACTGCTCCATGCATCTTGGTGCTGTTCTCTTCAGCCCTTACTGGTTCAGGACAACTCAACCCACTATTATGTCCACTGCCCTGCCTGCGTCATCAGAACATGCAAGCAGCAGACCTTGTTATGAATGTAGTGGTGATTCTGCAGGTGCGTGGGATGTAAAAACTGTGGAAACATGGAAGTCTCAACTTAGATTTCAAAGAATGCCTTCAACAGCCTGGAGGCCTGTGCAGAGATTTTTCAAAGGAGTGGAGCCATTGTAGAGAGTTCCTAGAAGGTTGCTGTCTAGTGGAGCCACAGAAGCAGGGCGACCCACAAAAGTCTAGAACAACAGAGCTACTGTGAAAAGCACAGCCGGGAGAACGGAAGCAGGAGACTCGAAACTGAGAGCTGAAGCATGGACTAAGCCCAGCAAAGCTATGAGGGCAAGGCTCCCTGACACTTCGGCCCCAGCCTCCAGGAGAACGGAAGCAGGAGACTCGAAACTGAGAGAGCTGAAGCATGGACTAAGCCCAGCAAAGCTATGAGGGCAAGGCTCCCTGACACTTCGGCCCCAGCCTCCACACCACTGTGTCTAGCGTGTAGCACGCAGAATGGAAAGTTACTCTTGATCTTAAGATTTAGTGTTGTCCCTGATCAAGTTCAGATGAGGTGACTGTAAAGTGGGACTAGGACTTTGTTCTATTCTGTGTCTCATCATTATATTTGGAAGCATGTAATTTGTTTTGATTTCTTAGGCTCACAGCTGAACTTTAAACTTTTTAGTTGGTGTTGGAATGAGTTAAGACTTGAGGCCACAGGGATAAAGTGAACGTATTTTGTCTGTGACGGGATGTGAACTGAGGGGGAAGCAGGGGTGGAATTCCATGGTTTGATTGTGTCCCCTACAAATTCATGTGTTGAAACTTCGTTTGTTATTATAATCATATTAAGAGGCTAGAACTTAATCTACCTATGGTTTTAAGAGGTGGGATTAATTAGGATTAGATAAGATTATCAGGGTGGGGCCTTATGATTGAATCCTGGTGGCTTCATAAGAAGAGGGAAGAGAAACCAGCACTGATACCCACTCTCACCATGTGCTCCCCCTTGCTACCTGGGGTCTCTGCGGAGTCCCCGTTAGCCAGATGGTCCTCACAAGATGTGGCCTCTCCACCCAGGGCCTCCAGAGTCATGAACTGAATAGACCTTATTCTTCGCCAGTTACCCAGTCTGTGGTAGTCATCTCTGCAATAGAAAAAGGAACTGTCAAGGGCATTAGATGCTTTGATTGGACAACCTAATATACTTAAAAACAATGCTAATATACTTAAAAACAAATCATTACTTTTTGTTAGCATTTAATATCAGACCCTATCAAATTTTTCATTTTGAGTTAATTATTATCACTTCTAAAAGAAGGATACTAATGCCTTCTCCCACTCCCCTTTCTTAAAGATAAGAGTTTTTCAGAGGAGTATTACATACCTATTTTGGATAAAATTTTATTTTGAAATCTATCATATGCCTTAAAAAGTTTGTAGTGTGAAGAATATGGTACAGTGTCTGGCATACAGTAAATGCTCAGTAAATGTCATTGCAGCTAAAGATCGGACTTTCTTCTCTTTAAGGAACTCACAGCCCCAATTTTTTTTGAATTATTTCTTTAAGTTGTCAAACAATTTTAAAGTAAAAGTCACTTATAATATCACCACTTTGAAAAATGTGTTGATTGGCTTGTCCTTTGTAAAGGTCCAACGAGACAATGAGAATCTAGTAGCAATGAGCTCCCTAGCCTTCAGATTTCGGTCTCTGAACACTCCTTCCCACTAAAAGGAAGCAGAGCTCTTGGAGAAGTGGCTTGATTCTATTAACGGGTCTGGGGGAAATGAGATAGAAAGGAAGGAAACCATCAAAGGATAATGGGGCCTTACCCAAAGAACAGGTGAGCCAGCCCGAAGGGACCTCCTGCTGGCCTAAGGTAGAACAGCCTGAGCATCATGAAGACTGGAACATCAGCCAGCCGGAACAGCTGTATGGAAGCCTGTCAGCCCGTGACGCCAGGTAACGCCCAGCGCCCGGTCCCCGCTGGAAGTGGACAGGCGCTAGTTCTCAGCCGACAAAGGGGATGGCCGGCCTTGTACGAATCCTTTCTTCTGGACCCTTTGTGTACCAGGATAACCAAGTGGTAGGGGAGGGAAAACCCTTTCTTATCAGAGACAAATTCTAGGTTTTAATGTAGAGAAATAGAAAATCACCATTTTTGACTCCTCGTGAAATGATGAGCTGAGCAAGAATGAGAACAGATGCTCACGTCCATCAGGAGGAAGGCCTATGGGATGGGTCGCGACCGGCTGGGCGGGTCGTGCTGAAAATCGAACATGGACAGGTAGCCCTGGAGACCCACTAGAGCGACAGTGAGGCTGGAAGGCCCTCGTGCCAAGCAGAAGCTCTGAAATACTCTTGCAGGTGTGAGCGTGATGACGGCGACAGTCAGGCACTTTGGGACGAGCCTCGTGCGATCCGTCAGTCATATCCACAGATCTCTGCGTGCCGTGCAAGTGACCTTCCCTTTCCACCTCAGTGGAGTTAGCATTTAACTCGATGTCTGGCTGGGAGTCGCCAGGCACAGCTGGAGAGGTGTGCCCGCTGCCGTCAAGGGGACTCTAACCATTGAGGCATCCGGTCACCTGGTTGTGCACAGGGCTCCGAGAGTGCTCACAGCCAGCTGTCCCCACTGGAGGTTCCTCCACGGGGAAGTGACAGACCAGGCGTGGGCGTGGTTCCCAGTGGAGAGGTGCAGGGAGGCCCGCGGGGCTCCCTGGGCGGCTGTGGTGACATCTCCTTCCTGAGAGCTCCTCGGTGGCCCAGGAGATGCGTTTCCTGCTTCACTGTCACAGGTTTTCCGAGCGCACAGGCTGGTGTGATCGGCTCAGTGAGATGTAAGCTGGAAACGCTCGCACTCCCGGGAGGCGCAGTGAGCTGGTGATGTGACGCCCACGAGCTGAGGGTGATTTGATGACGTGAAGACTCCCTGCACGTTCCAGGTTAACACCGCGGTGCGGTGTTCAGAAGGGACTGCCTACTTCCTGCCTTCCTGCTTTCTGAAGACCCGCGCTTGGACGCAAAGTCCCTATGGCCGCAGTCCTCCCGCCCATGTAGTGCCAGAGACCTAAGTCCTTGACCTGGTATTGTCATTGATGTCCACTAGCCTCAGCTGGGCTTCAGCTCCCAGCTGTTCAACTCATCCCTGTGCACAGTCCCAGAACCCTTCGGTGCCACCGTGTGTGTGTGTGTGTGTGTGTGTGTGTGTGTGTTCATGGCCACTGCAGTTCCAGTGTGCTCAGTACTCACTGCCAGTCACTGGTTTTTATCACGCAGTACCTCGTTTTGTCCTTAGTCCTTAGACATGGCTCAGCATGGGAGCAGAAGGCTCAGAGAAGCTCAACCATGTCCCCTATGGGGGCGGCAGGACAATAGGGACAGGCCAAGCCCTTGGTTCCCACCTGGTCTGACCTGCTGTGGGTCTCACCTCCTTGACTGCATGCTCTGCTCCTGCTCTCTGCAAGCCCTCTGTCTGCCCCTCCGGCATGGAGAAGAGAGCTGCCAGAAGGAGCGAACTCACCCTTCTCCATCCTGAATCTCTTTCTTTTTTTTTGGAGAGGTTTTTGCTATAGGGCACATGCACTCACCAGACAGACAGAGAGAGACAGAGAGACAGAAAGAGAGAAATCACCCCCCAGGGGGGATGGCCATACCGCAATCCCTTCTCCTCCATTCTCCTCTTGGGATCTTGGGCATGCACGCACACGTGCCTGGCGTGAATTTTAAGCCACCGGGTCCGGGTTGCAAACTGTGGTTGACTACATGGGACTCCAGCAACATAGCCATTATGCTAACTGCTGGTCTCTCTTTCTTTGTTTCTTGTGGTGGGTAGGTTTGTCATAGGGCGCATATGCTTGCCAAAGAGACAATGAGAAGGAAACAAACTTCTCAGGGGGGATGACCACACTGCCATCCCTTCTCCAGTCTCCTCCTGGAAGTTTGGACACACATGCACATGTGCCTGGGGCGATCTTCAA